GATTTCAATGTTATTTGTTAATGTTGAGGAAGCAAACAGGGACTAACCACTGTTCTATAAGGCATGTCCAATCCTTCTCAAGAAAATGCACATCTAAATACAATGAGCAATTATATCATCAACTAGTAGTCACCTTATTTGAACTGTTCTTCATTGTCAAAAGATTTAGATTTGATTATGGCAATATAAATTTGCATCATATCAAACTAAAGAGCCCATTTGGCATGGCAACCAAAAGGGTCTTCTTCTATGGTTGAAATGGATTTTACCAAAAGCTTTTCACTCAGCCATGTCCTAAACAGCCCAGGCTCTCTAAATTAATCAACACAAGTTAATGCAGTTACCTCAAACCCCTAACAATGGACTCAGTGGCAAGAGCCTCTTCTAAAGAATCGGCCGCAGCCTTTGCAGCAACAGCTCTCCTTTGAATAGCTTCCTGCAACCATATCATCATCTTCATCATTCAAACCTCAAATTCGAAGATCTTCATGTTCTAGTTAAGTTTCATTGTTTAAATCACAGTTTGTATTTAAAAAAAACCATGTCCATACTTTTCCAAGTCTTGCAAGGTCTGAAGTGAGGGAGTCCAGGGGAACACTTCCATCAGTCCATTTCTTCTCATGAATCGGTATAACCGGAGCCACATTAATCTTCTCTGATTCTTGAAAACTTTCAGCAAATTTAGTTTTTTCATCGCTTGCATTGTCATCTTGAGATACACTTGCATCACTTAAACGCCTGGAGATGGCAGCCTGAAAAGCTAGAAGATTAGAACATGGCGGAAAACAGCAAGAATCACAGAATGAACTTTAATAGTAACAAAAAATGGGATTTAAAAAAAATAAGCTGCAATTTACCTGAGTTCTGAGAATAGCCTGCAAATCGGGCTTGATCCTGGTGGACTTGTGATCGGACGATCCGCCTGAGACTGCCGGACCATCATCCCAGCTCTTTCTAGTGGATTTAGTGGATCCAACTATTGCCTCGGAAACCTTGGAAATTCCGGCAGCAATGGCTGTAATTTTCTTTTTCCCGGAAGGATCCTTTAGACCACCAGATAACCTCCGTCCAGGGGAAAGAGACATCCTTCTAGAGACCACCGGACTCGCCTGCCTCCTCCCCGTCGTTGGTGATGGCTGCCGGTACCGTGACGGCACTATTATGGCGGCCTCCCTCGACGTCCGGCGATTCTCCTCCTTGGCCGCCACTAGGCTCGGCACTACACACTTAGAGGGAACCGGCGAAGCTGACCTCTTCACTTTTCCGGCCGGCGACGGATCTCTCTCGACGACGGCAGTTTTCTTCCCGGACGATATTGACCTCTGTCTCACAGATCCGGGAGACGAAAACCTCTGAGGAGCCGCCTGAGCCGGAGTAGACTTCTCCGACGAAGTTTTATTCGAGACATCATCCACATCTACATTCTCCTTCCCGGAAAACACTTTTCTACCACCAATTTTGTCCTCGTCCTTTCCGATCCCCTTAATTTCATCCTCACCTCTTCCAATTCTCGGGAAACAAGCAGCAATCGGATCGGAATCCGACACAGGCTGGATAACGAACCCCCCATTCTTTGGAGAAATCCGAGCAACCAGAGGCTCGGGAGACCCAACAGAGGAGCGCCGGCCGGCAATGGGGCGGATATTGACGGCGCGGGGGAGAGGAGGGGAATCAAAGACGAAGCGGTCAACATGAACAAACTGACCTAGCTGGAGACGATTGGTGAGAATGAGATCCGTGTCCCGATCAGACAGGGAGACGTAGGTGGAATTCTGCGAGTCGGAGAGTTGAACGTAGAATCCGTGATGCGTCCACAAGGAATCGGAAGTGGACAGCGCCGGCACGATTCCGATCACCTGGAGGAGCGGCGAGCGGTGGTCGCCAGTGACTCTGGCGCTGGTGTTCATCGACTGGAGAAGCTTCAGGAGGATGCCTGGAGTAAGAGTGGCCATGGCTATGGAGATTAGAGGTTCCAGAAAGATTCGGAGAAGAAGAGAGTGAAAATGGGGTGTGTATAGAAGAAAAGAAGAAGAAGAAGACGGAGTATTATTATTTATCTTCAATTAAAAAAGATAAAAACAAATAAAATTGTTTTTGAATATTTGAAATGCATTGTTTTGGAGGGAGGCGGAAGTTGGAAGTGCGTAACGGCTACGAGGAAGTCGCTGTTACAAAGCGTGATCCGAGTCTTTTGCTTTCAAACTAAATATTTTCCATAAAATATAACCATTTGAATTATATATACTCCTTCCGTTAGGGATGTAAACAAATCAAATATTTTAAATTCGATTCGCGATTTGTATTCGAATATGATGATTCGAATTCGCGTTATTCAAATACAAATTCAAATTCAAATATTATTTTTGATTCGAATATTAATTAAATACAAATACAAATAAGGATATATTCGATTTGGATGATATTCGAATATTCGAATATATGTATATATACATAGACCATGATTTCAACATCAAAAGTCAAGCAAAGTAATATAGTATAAAGTGTATTTAAAATACTAAGAATTCAATAAATTAACGTAACACGAAAATCTAAAGCATATGATTTTTAATAGTTATATTTTATAAAATATAATTTGTGTAAGATGCAGATGTATTAATGTTTTTATATACGGAATATAGCATAGTATAAAGAGTATCGTAAGTTAAATTACAAATTGATGTTGGTCCATCATATAAATTACATAGTATGATTATTCAAATATTCGTTTATGATTCGATAACTATTCGAATATTAATCAAATCCTTATTCAAATCTTATTTTGAATTCGTCTCATATTCGGATTCGGATTCGTATTCGAAAAAATTAAACAAATACAAATTCAAATATATCGGTATTCGCTTCGATTCGGTTCGTTTACACCCCTACCTTCCGTCCATCTAAGATTTTTCGATTATGTATTACGAAGTTTGATTGACTTTATTTTCTATTCAATTTAATTGATTAAATGAGCAAAAATTTAGAATAAAATTTTTACATAGTAAAAAACTAAATGAGAAGTTTTATAAAATAAGATGTGATAAGACTATTATTTTACAAAATAAATAGTAAAAATAAGCAAACAAAGTGAGTTAAGTTTGACCATGTGAATAATGTTCAAAAAGATCTATGACGGACAAAGACAGACTAGTATTTTTGATAATTCAACTTACTCGGGTAAAAGAGTGTTGCTAATTGCTAAAGCTAATTTCTCTTTTTTTGTTAAATCAACCTCACTTATAACAAATTTTTAGTTTTAGCTTTAAGTTACGGGGTAATTCACATGTTGTCTTTTCTTATATTTTAAGTATAATTTGTCCATTTTTTACAAAAAAAAGTGTAGATTTAACAAAAAGAGAAGTTGATATACCAACACCTATGAAACAATGTTTCAAAAATCGAGTTAGTACATATCACGTATATATAACACACTACTTCAAAAACCTTATTACTATAACCAAATTTAGACCTTTCGTTCTTACATAGTATATTTGTATATTTCTGTGCGCATAAAATCGCCAGTTAATCTTATTTCCACCTAATTGACTAATGAGTCGTTTGATTTAAATGAGAATGACATTTTTTAAATAATGTATACTACCCTAAAATAAATATGAGAGTTTGAGTTCATAAATTTAACAAATTGTTAAGAAAGTAAAAATATATGACTAGAAATCCCTAGAATCTATTTAACAAATTGTTTTACAAATACTTCGTTGTAGATAAAAAAAATATGTAAAATGAGAGAATAATTTTGACTACAACATCGCATAAATAGTAAGAGTAAAGAAAATCAAATCGAGCGGAGGAGTATTATTGAGTTTTAAAACTTAGGGCCTTTTGTTGAGTTTTGAAATCTAAAACAAGATTTGATGCAAAAGAAAGAAAATGCCCAGATTTAGAAACTTCGTGACATATCCAAACTCATATCAATTTTCTTCACCAAAGAGGGCCTTAGTTCTCAGTTTAAATTGATGTGTTTATTCAAAAATTCAAAATGAAACAGTAACATTAAAGTCTACTGGTAATTAAATACTGTAGAATATCAAAATTAGGGATAGAGAGAATAGTACAATTATTATTTTTTAATTTAAAATATTGATGTTTTTCCCATGTCAATTTCGATTAATAAAATATCCATAATTTTTGGAACATAGTTTAGTATCATGTAAATTTAAAAGAAATAATTTTTTCCAATAAAACTATACTCTGTATAATTTATATTAAAAAATGGAAGAAAAATCAATGATAAGTGTGAAACACAAAATAGTGATATGGGAAAAATAAAAAAAGAAAATTGAAATAATTAATAAACTATAATAATAATAATAATAATACATGAAAAATATACTACTTTTAGAGTCATTATTTGGGAGTAAAGAGAGATTGAAGAATCGAAATAATTGGAATAACTGGAAGGAACTGGAAAAAATTAGAAGAAACTGAAAAAAGTGTAAGGAACTGGAAAAAAATTGGAAAAAACTAGAAGGTAAAGTTTAAATTCTAAAGAACAGGTTCTTAATAAGTTTTTTGAAGCTAGTTGAGAGAATTAGAGAGGGCTATTAAAACAATTAGAGAGGAAAAATATACCTATGCATAAGAAAACCACGTAGGATGCCAAATCATCACTCCGTCGCCAGAATATGCCAATTTCGATCAGGGGGTATCACTTTGTTATAATTCTAAATGATGTGGTGTGATTTTGTTACAAATATAAGATGAGGTACCTTTTTGTTACAATATCCAAAGTTGGGGTACCTCCTATGAAGAAAAGCCAATCAGTTTTTCCTTCCTCCAATTAAAAAAACAGTCGTAATGGATCCAGTTCTTTTCGACTGCAGCTTCATTCCCAAAAGCAAGTTGGGCACAAGCCAAATGAACAAGTTGGACTCTAGATCTCATATACACCAATACACATTTTTAGTCCCGTTTATGACGGAAAAGAGAATATAGAGAGAATGTTATAGTCACTTATATATTATTAAGAGGTATAAAGAAACCAGATTATATCACTCTCTTGATTTAAACTTCAAACCCATCGTATTTGAGTTATGTGTACACATAATTACAGATAGCTTGGAAGAAGGAAACAAAGGAGAAGGCAGGGGAAATTGTTTCTTTTGAACTCTGATTTGTAGAAAGATTTAGGCTACAAAGAATAGGAAAATAATGAGGAATACTATCAATACCAGGAAAATCTTGATCATCAGCCACCTGTTGGATGATATGCTGTTAAAGTACCTGACTAATTGCCCTTGTGCCCCTTCCACATTTGCAAGTGTGTCCTCCATGTTTTCATCAATCCTGTCAACTCCCATAAACTTCCCAAAGTAAAACAGAAATCTTTCACAGAGAGGCTTTCAAGTTTTGCATGTATTTTGCACGTTGATGGGAGATTGGAGTTGAATGTTCATTTTTACTGTATTACAAGCATCATTTGCAAAACATTTTACAATCATAAATAGAGGACCAACAAGCGCTACATGAAGTGTGCCTCAAACTCCAAAACAAATGAGCCTTGTACATAATGTAGTGGTGTTCATCAATTCAGTTTGGTCGGTAATGTAAGACCGAAAACAGAACCAAATAACTTACGTCCGTTTCAGTTGGTTTTGGTTTAGTCCTCTGTTGATTTTGGCCGGGTGGTCTTAACTCCTAGGCAAGACACAATGACATCTAATGAGGTTTACATGCTATACTTTAAGTCTGACATTCCAACTCCATGGAGGTTTGATTGAAAAAGGAAAAGTAGGCAGCAAATCACATGTTTTAGTATATCAGAATGCAAAGAAAACAAACCTAATTGCAAGTTCTCCTTGGTGAGAAACCATGGTTGCCAACTGGGTGAAAATGCTACTCAACTCATGAATAGTTGACTCAACACTATGAAGGGCCTGACTCCTGCTTTGCATGTAACTGTCCTGTAAAGGAGCCACCTGTTGTTGCTGCTGCTGCTGCTGCTGCACAGCTTGTTGCTGTTGTAGAAAAGGCTGGGATTCTCCATCCACCTTATCTCTGGGGAATAATACAACATTGAGATTTTGGATGNCCCCAATTACATTTGAAAAGGTACCGTACAAGTTACAACTTATAAAAGTCATGGAATCCTACGTACATTTTTCTATACCTCATCATAATGAACTTGCTTTTAAATTTTTGTTTTGCCGAATTACATGAAAGATATGTTCTATTTTTTAAAAGAACTTCTCTAACACAAAATAAGCTTTTGAAATATGACTCCTTTTGGGACAAATGGAGTAAGTATTGAAAAATAATGACGACATATGACACCAACTTAAGTATAAAACTGTTGTATTCTAATGAAATAAGGCTAAATTATTATTAATGATGCCTAGCCCTTCTGATATTTCTCTTCATGCTTTGCACACCAAAGTGGTACCAAATTCATTTTGTATACTCCAGCCAAATTTTCTCTAGCAGCACAGGGAGTATTTCACACTTTAAATATCTTTTTGTATTCTCCGGCCGAATTTTGTCTAGCAGCACAGGGAGTGGTTTTTGCTTTTTAGTGATAGTGAAGTAATTTGATATCAAATGCTACACTTGAATGATGGCTGGTGGTTGGCAGATATTAAAAAAAAACATGCGAACCAGCATGCACCTAATTAATCCAAGTAGGACACTTCAAATTTGACTATTTGAGAATATCTTCATGTCTTATCCTTCAAAAGAAGGTAACAAAAGTAAATAGATAAGATACATCAACCTTGACAATAAATGGATACTACCTCTATCCCGAGAAATATAGTTAAGTTTGACCAAAGTAATATTTTAAGCTTTGGTAAGATACAACTATCATAAATCAAGAGTCATACTTACTCCCTTTGTCCTGAATAAGGTTTCACAATTGACCAGGCACAATTATTAATAAATGTGAAAGTGTGTTGTTGAGTTTTGTGCATTGTGCAAAGGTAGGAGATATTGTGTGAACCATAGAGTTTCTTCCTCAAAAGGAAAGAGGAGTCTTGTTTGGGATAAAAAGAAAATGTGGAACCCTTTTGTGGGACAGAGGGAGTTTTTTTAATAAAAAAAAATTGTTAGCACTACTAGTCTAAATTTATCATATGCAACTTGCCGATGACTTGATTTTGCCAAATTTTTGCAAATTAAGAGAAACGTTAGGTTCATTTTATCAAATCAGGCTCTTTTTTAACCCAAAAAAAAACTTTTTGAAATGGGACTCTTTTTATGGGATAGAGGGGAGGGAGTTGTATAGATGTGTAAAATGTGTTACCTACCTAAGAGGTAACTGATAAGAGGAAGCATAGTTGTTAACCCATGGAGGGGGAGATGTAGATGCAGAGCTACTAGCAGCAGCAGCTCTAGTAGCTATAGGACGCTGGCGAATGAAAGGATTGGCAGAATCCTTCGATGCAGTAGAAAAAAATTGCTGCCTTCTGTTCTCATGAACCTTCAAGTTCTGAAGTGAAAATATAATTGCAGCAAACTGTGAAAAGGCAGACCAAGCAACTACCTATCCAGATAAGGAGAATGATATTGCCAATCTAAGGCCTCACTATCGTCATCCATACAGAAGGTCAACAACCCAACATACCTCAGTCCGCATGGTGAGGACTTCTTTGAACTCTTTTGTGGTGCTCATTAAGCGATTTTTCAGGTTGTCAACAACAGTAGATGAATGGGTTGTAGTGTCCGTAGACATGTTTCCGGGTTCATTATGGGAGTTGCAGAGAAGCTGAAGATCTACTACAGCAGAATTAAGTGAAGTGATGTCCTGCTTGATCACAGCCGTCAACTCTTGAATCTCCAGTGTAGGATCATCAAAAACTGATGTTCTCTTTCCCACTGTAAGGATGCATGAAGTAATTAGGAATCATATTTGTTCTGCAAATAGGGAAAAACATTTGAGAACCAGACCTATATTTAATATTCAATGGAGTCCTTTGCATGCATCCTAGATATACGGAGGCAAAAAGAAGAAAAAAACCTATTTGATTACAAATGAAAATGCTACAATGACCTTATGTTGACAACCTGACTACATAATACGGAGTACTCCGTATTATATTTACACCACTATCTCTATGCCAGATTCCAATAATTACTCCAGAAATAAAGGCTGGTAGAGATTTCCTTTAGAGGTTACTAAGGTAAATGCAGAATATTAGTATTATCCATTCAATAAAATGCCAGTTATTCACCTGCCAATGAGGCCTAGCCAACTGGTTATTGTTGAGACCCTAAGATCTAGAGGTCTGAGGTTGATTACCTCCTTTATGCGGAGAATTTCTTTCCACGCTTATTATGTATGGAGTAATCTGCTATTAGCATAAAGAGGCTTGTATTTCTATTGTTTGATTGAAATTTGTGTTTGTAAGGATTTCCAAATTGGGCGCTTCACTGATGACTCATTACTGTGTCAGATACTCAGATTGCATTGTGTTGTCATGTAATAGAGAAATACACCTTAAAAAATGGTATAGCAGTACGCAACTACGCAAGCAATGGAGAGTTGGGAACTTGTGACAAAATATAGTCCACCTAATAGGATGAAGAGCCTAAACTAGTATGTAAAATTTATTTAGCTTAAAAGAAAAGTCATTTTAATTAAAATAATTAGTCAAAAAAGAAGAAATTCTTAGAGAAGGTTTGTTTTGGCCAGGTTAATATCCCTCAGCACATATCACACATTCACACTGGGTAAATGAAATTCTGAATTTGCAACGACTCCTTTTTTTATCCAAAGAATGGAAGGAAGGATTTGCATCATTATTTAGTAGTTGAGCTAAACCTAACCAACATTGACCAAAAAATCAACAGTAACAATACAGTGGCTCAAAATTACTTATTTTACCTACTATGCACTTGCCCGACCGTTTCTAGTGAGTTAAATAGAAGTGTAACATATGGTCAGTGGTCACATATAGTGAGCAACCTTAGACAGTCCTATAGAGGAGAGTTATTACAGAACTTAATATAAAATGAACAAAAATATGGTGATCCTCACTAATTTAATTTTCCGTAGGCAGTTCGATAAAAGGCCAAAGTACATTGAATTGTACTAAAAAACAGAAAACACGATGAGCAAGACCAATATATTATACAAGTATAGTACTCCGTATAATTTTACTCCAAACAATATTCAGAAAGGCCCACATATCCACGTTACCACGTATGTGCATACATTAAGATAACTCATCGCCAATTCTGAATATAAAGCTCTAATGAAAAATGTCTCATAATATAGACAAAAACCAAACTACTGTATCATAGTCCTTGAACTTATTTATAGCAAATTTCATTGGAAAAGAGGGGAAAATCTCAATAATTAAGAATATCAGAACTTATCAAAACAGGGGTTTAATGTAACCAGGATACCTTAATACAATAAGTCAATTACTGAGGAGGATCCTCCTGTTTGGATATAAAAAACACTAGAAGCTAATCAGTAAAACCATTTATTTTCGGATAAAAGTAGCCAATCTTTGATGATCTAAGATTAAAATGGGTTCACTATTTCAGTAGATATAAGCTGAAGATGATCTTTAATTCCAAAAATTAGACGTCTACAACCAGGACCTAATTATGAATTACATTATCGATATAAAAAAAATACAGAGTGAAATTAATCAATTCATTATTGGACGGGAAGATCAATAAAAAAATTATTTTCAATTAAGAAACTCACATTTAGCAAGCTTAGAGAGTTTCAGAGAGGTTTGATGAATCCCTTGCCCAATCTTCGAAGCTTTTTTATTGAACTCCGACTGAAAAGAAATAGCCGGCCGACTTGCCTCGGCCTTGGCATCTCCCCCACCATCGACGGCGCCGCTGCTGGATGCCGGCGACGGGATAAATTTCTTCAATTTCTCGGCCACATTGTTAAATTCGTGCGTTCGATCTCTGCACGAAGATTGCACCGATCTCATACTTGCATTCAATGTGATGAATTGTTGATTCCCCTCTCTGAAACTGAAATTATAGAGATCTTCTCCCGTGCGCCCTCCCCTTTTCCTCTTTTCTCCTTCCCACCTCAGCCCCAGTTTAGCTTTGCTTTCCTACCCTTCAATTTTTCATACTTCCTAGTCCCAAAATTTCTTAATATTTAGAAAAATAAAAAAAATTAAGAATACAATGGCACATTCATTAAAAAAAATTGCCAAAGTATGAAACAAAAGAAATTTTTGAACAAATTTTTTTGCCAAAATAGGAAAGTGAGGAAGAAATTATTAAACGGAGGGAGAATTATATTTAACACTTACTTTAATTAAAATAATTAAACTAAAAATATAAAAATAATAAAATTTACTTAAAATTCTTTTTTATTAAACTTTAAATAATTGAAAATTTCATTAAAATTAAAATAAGAAATACAATAAATAGTGTATCTAGGAAATACAATAAAAATATGTAAAACAATACTTTGGAAAAATAACAATACAAAATAAAAAACATAATACTAAAAAATCTAAACATCTCCGCTTGAGTCGTCACGCGCCGCACCTCTTAGCCACCTCTGGGATATCATATATGACATCATCATCACCACTGCACGCTCCGTCGGACCAAAGTTATCCACGTTGGTGGTAATATTTTTGAAGTCTTTTAATCTTCGATCTTACTCTAGGCTTTAACGTTCTATGGCAAGCCGCATTTTTTTTTCTTTGTGTCTTTGCTCAAGCCTCTTCGTTCTCGCTTGTTCTTTAGCCCGAAGGCTCTCCGCCTGCATTTCATGAAAGGCGGACAACAAGTGTTGAGATGCTCGAACCCTTTAACTAAGGGTTCGGCTGCCATGCATGATGATCCTTCTTTTTTCGCTTGTTCCCCCCTGATGGATTGTTACGGCTCCAGTGGTGTTGGTATGTCGTCATTATCGTTACTGATACTCGGCATTCAGTGAGCATTGGAAATGATGGGACTAAAGTTGCCGGATTCAGACGTTTTAGAACCTGCCCCCATTTATTAGTAAATCCGTGGAAAATGATCAAGCGCTTGCTACAACACGTCTTGATCACTCGAACTGCTCGCACGATTCATGTAAATGGTGTTGTAGATACCACTAATTTTGTAATTTTATTATTCATATCGCGATACTTGGAAGCTACGAAGTGAACAAGGCGATACGACTTTGAGTTCATCAACTCAGGGAATTTGTCGATGACTTTAGTCCAAAACCCGTCGCTTGTCTGAGCATTTCCTATACACGAGTGATAAAAAATTAAGAAAAATGTTATATACTGAAAAAAATTTAGCTAAAAAAATTAATTCAAGTTAAAGGCACCTCTTATCGGGTCGGTGGAAATGTTAACCCAAACTTTGGCTAAAGCTCCCTCCTCGGTCATGGTCCAAGATTTTGGAGCACTCCGAGTCGTGCTTGGTCCCCCTTCACGTTTCTCTTTGCTTTCGATATTTTTGGAGCTTGCGTAGGCACAACCTCATCGATAAGTCGGAGTAGATCCATAGTACTCTAGATGTGAAAAATATTCAACAAAAATAGTAATCAAATTCAAAGAAATGGATAAAAAGTCTGTAAAAAAGATGAGTGAAGTGTTATGTTTAATTAGTAAATTTTTTTAATTTTTTCTACTTAAAACGACACTTCCAACAAAAAAATAGAAAAATGATCGTTGAATGCTGATGGGAAAAATAAGGAAGGGAACCTGCCATTCCCTTTCCCGCATGGGGGAGGCGGTGTTCCCCTTCCCTTCCACAGCCATGTCGTCCTTCCCCTTCCCTTCCTGTGGGTGCGCACCAGATGGTCTTATTAGCAATAAGTATTCACCTGTCAACTCCACAAAAAAATAGAATAAATTCTAAAATGCTATTCAATATTTATGTATTTTCTCAAAATTTTCTTTAAAAAAACTATTTACAGAGATGATACTCAGTTTAGTCCTTCAGCTAATGGTCGTCAAAATGACATTAGAATGTGAAAGCTTATACTAATATATTGTGGAAATAACGTAACCTCAATTAAGGAGGTTTAGAATACTCATTTTCGAGTAACTAAATGCTCATTTTCAAGCATAACTGAATTTCAGAAAACAAATTTTTTATTACTCGAAAATGAGCAATCAATTACTCGAAAATGAATATTGAGATACTCGAAAACGAGTACTCACCTCGAATGTACGGAAAACATTGTACCACCAGTTGTACGGTATACATTGGGTTGAGTGCTACGCGCACCCAGCCGCAAGTCCCACAACTCGATTTGTAGGATTTCCAAAGGGTGTATTCCGTTGGTTGGAGAGAAATAGGAATATAAATAGAAGGGAAGTAAGAGGGAAATTGAAATTTAATTGAAAAAAGTTTCACCCCATGAAATTAATTTTTCACTCCACATCTTTCCAACCAAATAGACTAGGGTAGTGTTTGAAAATTAGAATTCATTTGAAATCTTGGATTTCAATTTCAATATTAGATTTTAATTTTAGATTTTTTTTTTGTTCCCGAGCCGTTTTGGCGGGGCGTACTAAACCCACTACGTACCACACCACCGAACGACTCACTTGAATCCGTCACCTGCAAGATACGGTACGAAGCCATCTCTTTTCAGTCGAATGAGTTTCATTATATATGCTACACTCTTTGAAACTCATTCAGAGCAACTTGAATTTTAGAGTCGACAAAGACGGTAACATAAGCGGGTTGATATATATTGTTGTATAGAGAAAATCACTCTTTAATTACCTCTGAAAAGTTATTATAAATTAAAGAAAGGTTGGTATTGAATTGTAACTTGTAAGTGACGTAAGGAGAAGTATGAATTTGTAGTTGGATTAAATTTGATTTACAAGAATTTGATCTAAATAAAAATCTAATTTTTTTAATTCTAATTTGAATCATATCTGGATTTTAAATACAAATGATTCCCAAACGAGCAATGTTAGGGGTACACCAAAGGTGTATCCCATTTGTCTCTCACCGCCTTCTCTATCACCCATTTTCATTTATTTTTTATTTATTTGATTTTTTTAAAAAAATCATGCTCATTTATGTGGTAATGGAGGGGGTGGGGACAAATGGATGGTGTATTTTTCTTTCCAAACACACTAGTTCGAAGTTGAATTGAAGAGAAGTGGAAGTTCAATGTCTACAGTCTACACCACTTGATTAACGTGGAAATATCTGTCTAAAACCCCTCCTGGATTTGGCCGGCTCTCAGCTTTCCCGTCGTCTACGGCTGACGGCCGGCGCTCCTCGGTGCACTGCCCCTGCGGCACTCCCATGTATGTCTCTAGATCTCCATTCCGCTGATGACCTAATTATATATTGTTGATTTCTATGACACTGGCCACTCACTAGCCAGTAGGGTTTGAACTTAATTTGCCGATTTCATTTGCAATGTACAATTATGATTTTTCAGTTACGCAGCATTCCTGATTCAAATAATCTGATTTTTTAAAATAGTATATGGATGCTTTTTCCATTGCTTCGATAGAATAAATGAATTTAACTTGTCTCTTTTCGTGATTTGTTGTCTATGAATCTAAATTAGTTCACAACTCTTATTTTGAAATATACCTTTCATCCCAATATCCCCTTTCTGCTGTGCAGGATTTGTCCAATACAGACTTGGGAAACATGAATGTCATAAGCTACAACGCCATTACAAAACCTAACTTTTTTCTTGTACGATGTGAGGTATCCGTTCTTGTGTTTCGTAGAGCCCAACTTAATTCAGCTCAGAATTTATGTATTTTACCTCGTTGTGACAAGAAAAACTATATCATGAGGCTATGTTGTTCCGTTGCGGGTAGGACACTGTCTTCTAGATTGGAGAATTTTAAATTACCAAAGTCTGAAACTTGTAATGGGAGTCGTCAAAAACAAAAAATTGATGCATCATCAGTGTACATTCATCCTAGTCTGTTGCAAATGAAGAACGAGAGGGCAGCAAATCGCGCACTTATTTATGACTTCTTGAGAGGGATTGGCATTGTTCCCGACGAGCTTGATGGATTAGAGCTTCCTCTTTCCATTGATGTCATGAGAGAGCGTTTGGATTTCCTTCACAAACTGGGTCTCACGGTTAAAGACATCAACAATTACCCTCTTGTCCTTGGATGCAGTGTGAAGAAAAACATGATTCCCGTTCTTGATTACCTTGGCAAGTTGGGTGTCAGAAAATCCACACTCACCGGATTCCTTCGCCGATACCCACAAGTTCTCCAAGCTAGTGTTGTGGTTGACCTTCTTCCAGTTGTCAAGTATCTTCAAGGTTTGGACATCAAACCAAATGATATTCCCCTAGTTCTTGAGAAATATCCAGAAGTACTGGGATTCAAGCTTGAGGGCACAATGAGTACTTCTGTTGCATATCTTGTCGGCATTGGGGTGGCAAGAAGAGAAATCGCGAGAGTGTTGGTGGGGAATCCCGAAATATTAGGGATGAGAGTGGGCCGGGTGATCAAGCCTTTTGTGGAATATCTTGAGAGTGTGATAGGAATCCCAAGGTTAGCCGTGGCTAGGTTGATTGAGAAAGATCCACACATTCTTGGTTTTGGGCTTGAAGAGAGAGTCAAACCTAATGTGGACTCTCTTATACGGTTCAATCTCAGAAAATCTTCACTCCCATCCGTCATTGCTCAATACCCTGCAATTTTAGGGCTTAATCTCGACGAAAAGCTGAAAGCCCAACAAAGTTTTCTCAGTTCACTCTTAGGTCTATGCCCTGAGGATTTTGGGAGAGTTGTGGAGAGGATGCCACAGTTTGTGAGTCTCAACAACTCACCTATAACGAGGCACGTTGATTTCCTCAAGGCACGTGGGTTCTCTTTGGAACAGCTAAGGAATATGGTCGTGGGGTGTCCCCAGATACTCGCATTGAATATCGATACCATGAAACATAGTTTTGATTACTTCACTGGTGAGATGCGCGGGAGACCATTGGATGAGTTGGTTGCTTTCCCTGCATTCTTCACTTACGGGCTCGAATCAACCATAAAACCAAGACATGAGAAGATTGCTGCAAAAGGGGTGAAATGTTCCCTTGCACGGATGCTTAACTGCTCGGATGAGAGATTCGAGGATCGGATGCAAAATGACTCCAT